AAATGAACTTTTAGTTTACTTAAATCTTTGTTTGCCATGTTTAGAGGCTATTAATGTATTTAAGAGCGACAGCAATTTGTTACTGGCTGCTAGGTGTAACAAAAAATATGTTTTTAAAAACAAAAAATAAAATACTTTATTTTTATGCTGAGTATTTTTTTTTAACCTTTTAGTCGAGAAATACTTTATGTAAAGCCTGAAAAGGTGGCAACCCTAATTATATCATACTTATTGGCAATTCCTTGTCATAATTGAAGATCAAGATTTATATATTTATGCAACGCAAGTTTTGTTATTTTAAAAATCAAAGGAAATAGCAAAATACAATTTATAGTTATTTTATAGGTAGGAGAGGCATCCTTATGCGACTACTGACTTTTTTTCAGTAAACTAAAATGAGATGGCTTTTTTTTTGATATTTGATATCATTTACTAAATAGATAAATCAGCTTTATTTTCTTAATATTGCAGAATTAAAGTTGTGGTAAAATGGATAATGAGGGCTTTTAGTGGATATCTCCCTCAAGAACAGCTTCTTTATTTATGGGACATTATATTGGCTTACGACTCTTTAGAAATAATACCACTTTTAGCAACGTCAATTGTAGTATTTAGGAAGAATAATATACTTAGGGTAAAAGATATTCAAAATATCGAAGCGGTATTAGCGGATTTGTCATCAATCAACGTAATGTCCCTATTACAAATGGCTTTAGCGAAAGAATAACGGTTTACTAACAATTCATTAGATTTATGTAAAAGCGTGCATATAAGAATAGTTCTGACGTTTTTTTATTGTGTATTTTTAAGGTAGATTTTGAAATAAATATTTTATTTTATACCCATTTTTTATTTAAATTCAATTCACTTTGAAAGATACCTACAATATATTTCAAAAAATTATTTAATAAATTTTTCAAAAGAGGAAGCACATATTCTTCTTACATGTACGCCACTGCTTATGAGTCAGTGTATTTGAACACAGCCGAATTGAAGTGTAAGCTCAAGGTAAGTTCTATATTTCTGTTTTCTAGTGTGAGAATATGAGGTCTATGAGTCTATGGTGGGATTTTCTCTATGGGTGAGATCCTTTAACCTCTTCTTTTTAAGGAATATTTGGCATCGATTATGTGATGTCACATTTTTGTTTTCATTAAGAAGATAATTTGCACGTGTATTAAAAATAATTTTCACCTAAAAGTTTCTAAAGATGCGCCGTTCAACAGCCAGCATTGGTTCTCAAAGCGCAGGGGAAGAAACCAAGCGAGCAAGGGATGCTTGCATTTCAAGTTTCGTTATGTTTTTTTTATCAATAGCAGTAATTAGAACAAGTATGTTATAATGAAGTATTTTAAATGGATTTTACAATTGTAGTTTCTATTTCATTTCAGTGTTGTTTTCTATCATGCTACAAGTTTAAAAATTTTTTGTTTCAGTACCAACAATTTTGCAGCAGGTGTAACAGTTAAAGAAGAACCTTTTCGGGTCAAAAACAATTTTGCACAAATTTCTGTTACCATGATTTTAATGGTTTTCTTCAAAACAAACAAATATTTTTTGTTGATGTAAAAAATCTTTAATGAAGTGCTTCATATTGTAATAGATACTTACATAGTACATTTTTTATGTAAATAAAGCTTTTTATTGGAGATTATATTTTTTATTTAAATACCATCAAATAAAAAAAATTA